TATCTCTTTTTAGCCTCACAACAACCCCGAGAGATAGAGAGTACAGTTATTATTGTACCCATTTTATATATTTAGAAAAATCCCAAACATTTTAAGTGACTAGTCAATGGTCATACAGTGGCCAAATATGGAAGGAGGCAGAATTCAAAATCAAGTCCTCCTAACTTTAATTCCAAACAGACCACCTACCTTAACAAAGATTTTAAAACTCAAGTAATTGGCTGGGATCATGAGAAAACCATGCAAAAAAAAAAAAAAAAGAAGTCAGACCATAGAATCTTTCTTTGGTGACAAAGAAGATCAAAACATACAACCAGAAGAAGACAACAAAGTCAAAGCTCCTACATGTAAAGCCTCCAAGAAAAATATAAATCAGTCCCAGGCCTTGGAAGAGCTCAAAAGGGATTTTGAGAAGCAAGTAAGAGAAGTAGAGGAAAAACTCTAAGAGAAATGAGAGTGATGCAAGAAAATCATGAAAAAAGTAGTCAACAGCTTGCTAAAGGAAACTCCCCCAAAATACTGAAGAGAATAACAACTTTAAAAATAGCCTAATCCAAATGGCAAAAGAGGCCCAAAAAGCCAATGAGGAGAAGAATGACTTCAAAAACAGAATTGACCAAATGAAAAGAAGTCCCAAAGCTCACTGAAGAAAATATTTCCTTAAAAATTAGAATGGAGCAATTGGAAGCTAGTGACTTTATGAGAAATCAAGACTTTATAAAACAAAACCAAAAAAATGAAAAAATAGAAGACAATGTGAAATACCTCACTGGAAAAACAACTGACCTAGAAAATAGATCCGAGAGATAATTTTATAATTATTGCACTATCTGAATGCCATGATCAAAAAAAGAGCCTAGAAATCATCTTTCAAGAAATTATCAAGGAAAATTGTCTTGATATTCTAGAACCAGAGGGTAAAATAGAAATTGAAAGAATCTACCGATCACCTCCTGAAAGAGATCCCCAAAGGAAAACTCCTGGGAATATTGTAGCCAGATTCCAGAGCTCCCACGCCAAAGACAAAATATTGCAAGCATCCAGACGGAAACAATTCAAGTGTTGTGGAAACACAATCAAGATAACACAAGACTTAGCAGCTTCTGTATTAAGGGACTAGATGGCTTGGAATATGATATTCCAGAGGGCAAAGGAGGTAGGATTATAGCCAAGAATCACCTACCCAGCAAAACTGAGTATAATCCTTCAGGGAAAAAAATAGACATTTAGTGAAATAGAGGACTTTCAAGCATTCTTGATGAAAAGACCAGGGCTGAATGGAAATTTTGACTTTCAAATACAAGACTCAAGAGAAGTATGAAAAGGTAAACAGGAAAGCGAAATCATGAGGGACTTATTAAGGTTGAACTGTTTACATTCCTACAAGGAAAGATGCTATTTGTAACTCATGAGACCTTTGTCAGTATTAGGGTAGTTGGAGGGAAAAAAATTATATGGATAGATAGATAGATAGATAGATAGATAGATAGATAGATAGATAGATAGATAGA